ATACTCAAAATATTCGGTTGTGTTTCAATAATTGTTTCAATAATATTTAAAAGAAATTGACTAGAATTTTCTATTATTCTTGGAATAATATTTTCTTGAAGAGAATTATATATAGTTTTTGAATTCAATAATAATGAATAAAATTTTAAAAGAAATGTTTTACCAACACCAGTATCACCTTCAATAATTAAAGCTAATTTTGTTAATTTTCTTTCATGTATATGAAAAAGTTTATAAGCAAAATTTTCTGTTAAAATAAATTTTGTTTCATAAATAATTTTTATAAATATTTCATATTTAATATCAATTAACCATGCTAAACATTCAGCAAAATAATCTTTATTTTCATATTCATTATTTATTAATGGATCATAATTATAAAAAAGACTTTTTAAATCATTTGAAACATTATTCCAATTATTATGTAATATATGTAAAGCAAAACCTGGATCATAAATAAGATAAATACGTGGATAATGATTATTTTGAAAATTAATTTGTGTTAAAGATTTTGCTTCATTAATCATTTGTTGCATAGCTATTGAACCTAAATTTTGAATATGATCATTCCAACAATAATAATGTCCTTCAAAGAAACGTACACGACGATATAAAAATTTTATAAATGAAAGTTGATAAATTTTATTTTTTGGTAATTCTGGTGCATATTTTTCTATACAATTATAAATATATTTTCGACATTCATCAATATTTTTAATTGATTCAAAACTAACAGGTATTTCACGACCAGTTTTTGATATTGTTATCATACGATTAATTGTTTGATCTTCAAATGCTTTTAAATAACGAGCAACAATTTCTTCTTCTTTATCAATAGATAATTGATAATTTTCATTAGTAATTTCTTCTAATGTTAATGGAGAAATAATAGAAAGAATTGGTAAAATTTGATTAAAATTTTCTTGAACATCAATACCAAAAATATCTGAATAAGGAATTTCAATAATAAATTTCCATGTTTGAATATGTGATAAAGAAAATATTAAACCACTAGTTGGATCATTTAAACATCCACAAATAAAAAGTGAAAATAATGTTCGATTTAATATTTCAAATGGTGCATGTATTGATATATTGAAATATATCGTTGGATTATTATTAATTATATTCGAATCAAATAAAAGAAATGAACTAATTAATAATGAAAGATTTAATTTATCATTAATACTAAAACATGACATATGATCAGTTTTATATTCTTTATTGATACGATGAGTTTTACCTGAAATAAAAATAAGAAAAATCTTCTGTTTTTAAACAATGAAGATAATATACTACTTACCAATACCCGTTTTACCATAGATAATTTGAATTTGTGATGGTATAATATGATATTCTTTAAATAGATTCATTATATGTTGATAACTTTGAATAGGATTTTTATATTTCATTGGTATTTGAAATTCTCGTAAACCTTTTCGATTTGTTGTTAATTCATATGAAAAATAAAATACTCGTCCATGTATATGTTGTTCACGTGCTAATAAATCTTGTTCATGTAAAAGTAATTCTCGTAAACGATGATGCATTTTATCAATATCCATAATAACAAATGTAAGAGAAGAAAATGTTCGTATACGTGAAAAAAATAAATGAATATCTTCATCGGTTGTATTTGAACACCAAAGAATTTGATAAGATGATGGTAATTGATTTTGAAATATATTTAATAGAATACAACAAGTATCAAGATCAAAATCATGTAACAATGATATTTGATTTGTTGTTGATGAAGGATGATTAATACGAACAAGATATTGTTGATTTTCATTATATATTACATTCTGTGAAAATATTTCTTCATTCTGTTCAAATAAATCTTGAAGAAATTCTGATAATTTTTTCAAAGACATATCTATATTTAATCCAATTTCAATATGATATTTTTGATAAAATTCAACAAGTTGATTTGTAGTTAAATTTACTTGAGAAATTCTTAATGAACGTAGATAATGTTCAAGACAATGAATAGCTAATTTTTGTTCTTCTTCATTTTGATTATTTAAATCTTTAAATGAAAATAAATTTTTCAAAAATTGATTTCGAATAGAATTTGATGTATTCGATGTTCGAAGTAGAATAATTAAAATCATAATTTTACGATTAGAAAATAATTTTAATAATGAACATTTTTGACGATATTTTTCTAGATTTTGTATCCACATGTCATATGTTGTTTGTAAAGTATTACATATTAATTGTAAATTTTGAATTCGAATTTGAATAGCATTGTCTAAACGAGCATTTTGATGACTTCGTAAATCGGTTAACATTGAACTAGTATCAACTAAAAAATAAATCGAAAACATAAGCAAATGAGCTTAATATATGAGTTCAAATGGGCAGATGTCTGCTTGGATTAACCTCTCGTTAAATATATGGGTACTCAGCTAGTATCAACTATGATATCTATCCATTTCCTATACTATTCTATGAACAAGTTTTTGTGAAACACGATCTAAAATGACATGTTACTATTTTGCAAGTAAAGGTGATAGCAAAATTCATGATTGGTCACACTAACTAAACCTTTCGGCGCTTCCATACGACCATCATTAGTAATAACTGTAAAAATTTTTGTTTTTTGAGACTCAGCCATTCTCTTTCTTCGTGTGGCACAGGATATCTTGAACTCAGTAGATTCACTAGAACTCGTCTGTGATTGAAAAAGATTTTCTTACTATGTTGAAGATGAATTTCATAATTTTCATCTCGTAATTGATAATCAGGATGACCAGCTAATTCTAATTTAGTATAAATATGATAAATATTTTCAATTGTTTTTAATAATTTTAATTGTCCATTAATTAAAACTTTCTTATAGATTAAATTTTGTTGAACATCAACATTACAAAATGTTAATTGACGTTTATGATCATCAATATCTGACATTGATAATAGAAATTCTATTTTTTTTGTTTTAATTTGATTATTTTCATCGTTTACTTTTTCTATTCCAGTTTCTATACGATCAATTGAATAACTTATTTCATAATATGAGGATTTTTTTATTAAATGTTGTAAATAAATATTAACATTTCCATTTTTATATAAATGTTCCATTGTAATCAAAGCATTATCTAATACTGTTGTTTCTTCTGTTGATAACCACATTGTTACAATTGGTATATTATCGTTAATTACTAGAAAATAAAGATAGAAAAAAAAAATAATAATTACAATTCATTCATTGAAGTTTACTTTTGATATGATTTAATGAATTTTCTTCTATATTTGATAATTGAGAAAGACGATAAATAAAATCATTAAAATTTTTATCTTTAAACATAAATGGTTCAATTAATGTATATGTTATAATCCATGAATTTAAAATCATATTATTCAATTCTTGTAATTGAAATTGTGTTGTTAAATTATCTCGTAATTCTTGAAAACGACGTCGTCCATAAGTAGAATAAAGATCAGATTTTTTCATCATTTCAATAACATTCGAATATTCGACAACTGTTTTTACTAATTGTAAATGTTGATATGTTATATTTTGAAAACAATCTTGTAAAATTTGATAAACTTGAGTTATATCTCTTAATAAATAATTTTCATCATCACTCAAACGTCTTAAATGATTAATTATTTCTTCTTCATTATCTAATGATAATAGATCAAATTTTTTAATACATTCCATAATAACATTAACATGACTATAATATTGATAAATTTGTAACCATTCACAAACTTGTTCAATTTCTTTTTCATTAGAATGAATAGTTGAAATATTAAATCTATCATTGTTTTGTTTATTTGAACAACTTATATATAATTTTTTGACTTCTTCTCGAATATTTATATTTTTATCATAGAAAATAGTACGTAATTCTGCTATAGTTTGTAAATTTAAATTACCATTTAAAAGTTTATCTATAAAATCAAAAACTTGATCAAGTAATTGACTAAAATCATATTCAGAAATTTGTTGATTATATTTATCATAATACATATTAAATATACCATGAAATAAATAACAAGTTGATAAATTATTAGATTTAATACGATACCATATTGTTTGAGATAAATGATTATTTTTATTATCAATCGTTATTATTAATTGACCATTACGTTGACTTTCAAATTGACCATATAGAACATTTTTATGAATAGGAACATTTTCTTGTTTATATAATATTTCATTTTTAGTATTTCCTCTATATACTCGATATTCAACAGTAATATCACATGAATGATTTTCACTTGCCAATGACCATTGAACTTGTTGATGATCAGTTATAGATATAATGTGTTCGTATGTGGATTCACTCTCTACTGTAAATGTATTGTTAGGTTGAAAACGTTTTAAATCTGTAAGA